CAGGACAGGACAGGACAGGACAGGACAGGACAGGACAGGACAGGACAAGACAAGACAAGACAAGACAAGACAAGACAAGACAAGACAAGACAAGACAGACAGAGACACAGACAGATAGAGACACAAACAGAGACACAGACAGAGAGACAGAGAAACAGAGACAAATAGAAATAATATATAGATAATTATAGATAAATAGTCCTCGTTTAGACAACCCGGAGAAGTTGGAGCACCTGATCTGAGGCTGGCAAATACGGAAGCAACCAGCGACAACAACGAGGTCGACTCAAAAGGGTACAGGGGTTGGCTGTCACCCGTGAATGGACTGTCAAACCCCCCCAATCCAATGGCAGCACTTGACCATGCTTGACTCATCCCTATGGATACACCAAGAAGAACGCTCACGTTGGGGCCATGACCACCACCCCATGTGCCTCAGATCATGCTGATCATGCTGATCATGTATCTGCCCTGCCTGTGGTTGTGGCCCAGCCTCTAAACCGTCCATCATCCTTGCATGTCACCATCCTTGCATCGTTGAATAACGCCAGAATCGTTGGGTGAAGGATTTCAATTGAACAACTGTTAAATTCCCTGGGTTGACCCCTAGGGCCCTAGGATCTTGGATTCAATTTTTTATCTAACGGGACCATTTCCCGTGCAGGCACGAGAACCTGCTTTCTCACCGCCCGAGGCCTCTTAAGCCGCCGAGACCGAAGCCGAGAGGCCGTGATCACTGGAAGGCCTCTGGAAGACTTCAGAGAGGGCACCTGCCGTGGACACGAACCGAGTGAGAAATCGTGTGGATGTTTTGCATCAAACGGTGAGATCCTTTTGATGTAAATGGTAAGTGAAGGGTAAGTAGTTTGATGTTGTAGTCTATCTGGTGCTCAAATCATTGGCGTGTTTTATTCATAAAAGCTCCTTCATCCAGGCTGAACCAGTTCAGCGCAGCTGATTCCAGATCCCACCTCTTTTGGATCGAACATGAGCCGATAGGCATCCTTGGCTCTTGGCTTTTGGAGATGAGTCGAAACGAGGAATGAACAGCGAAACGAGTCGCCTTTCACAGATGCTGCGGAAACCTCCGGAGGTGCCAGTGCAACGGATTGTCCACATGTTCATGTCAAGGTTTAAAAAAGATATATAAAAACTGATAGACTGCCTATCCGCATTCCAAATGTTGGTGAGACCTATAACGCTTCAAGTGGGACCTGCCAAATATTGCTAAAGTGCATAAGGCTGATCAATCAGCGGCTGATCAGTCTGATGAGGCTTCAACTACCAATGAAATCCGTTGAAATCCTACGTCCTCATATGTCCTCTACCAAATGATTCAGGACACAGTATATGGTGAGTACACAGAGTTGTCGTGTCAATTCTGAGCCGGAAAGACCTGCTGAGTTCAGAATGGGTTGGCTGTGTTTCCCTGTTTGCGAAATGCAGGCCGTGGGTTTCCATGTGTTATCACCGACGCAGCACCCTGATGTTCTCAAGAAAGGCAGAAAGGCAGCGTTACTCAAAAGGCCGCACATAGGTCAGCTGTGCTATTTGTCGCTGAAAGGAAGGGGCGGAAGGAAAGGATCGATTCGTCTCGTCGGTTCGCGCCCGATCCTCCAAAAGAAGAAAACAAAAAAGAAGCCCGGTCCAGCTGTGTCCAATTGCCAAGCAGAGTTGAGACCCCTGAATGTGTCGTCTCAGGGACTCTGAAGAAAGATCCTAATGTTGGATCATGATGCGTAATGAATGATCAATAATGCACATGTGTTCTCAAAAGTTCTCAAACTATTCATAATAGCATCTTTGCTAAATGGATCATCTAATATGCTAAGTTTTGGATCCTAATTTCTGCTATGAACATAAATCCTTTCCGGAGACCTTAATACTACTATACTAAAGTAATGAACAGTTGATATAGGTTCCTCTAGTTCTTCTTCAAAACTGACAGCTTCCCAAAGCCGTCAATTCCTTTGTCAATCCTGTATGAGGGCCCGTTATGTGAAGATTTCTCCGAAACAAATGTTCGTTCGGTAGTAGACCAGGACATTACCCGATCATCCGAACTAGATTTGAAGGCGGGGAAACCCCCCTTTCACCGGCTTGAATTACGCTCCCACATGCTTCAAGATGAGGTCCACTACAGTGAAGGAGGGTCCCAGCCGAACCTTCCGCCGGACCCGGACCGCGTGGCTTCGTCCAAGTCTCATCAAAGTGATCCACAAAGTGGGCCGTCAGACCGTCGCCTCGGTCGCCAGGGCGAGCCGAACGGGCTTGGGATAGGTCAGCCGGTCAGCCTGGAACCAGCGCTGCAGCCGGAGCTCAGTGCTCCATTTATAGTGGATTGAGAGGACCAATGGCACAGACCCCAATGTCGGTGGTTTATATGAACCCCCATGTACAGAACATCTTGAGGTCTGTGCCATCTACTCTGAAACCACTGTGAACCCTTTTCCACTTCCTGCTGTTCGCTGGGGTTGATCACGTGAGGCGCCAGGACACAGATTCCAAGGATGTCCATACACATGCTCAACACATGCTCAACACGGGCCGAAAACATCCTGAAACATCCCAAAAATGCATCGAAACTTGACGAGCTCCCAGGATCACCACCCACCATGCATTGCCTCAGCACGCAGAGCGTGCGAAGTCGGGCCCCTGACTCTGGAGACGCAGCTGGGAAGCGCAGCGAAACGGGGGGTGGCCTTTTTCGGCCCCCAGCGATCAACAGGTGTCTCTGAGGCTGGCGACGCAAGTACTCCTTGATCTCCATGTAATCCGCCTGGCGGCCCGACCCTTTTTCAAGGCTTGTTCGGACTGTGATATGCGGACGAAAAGACCATGCGTCTTGCCATGTCTTGCCATGTCTTGCCTACTACGGATGGGGCATATGTTTTCTCTCTTTCAGGGTCAGCCAGCACCAGAAACTTCACAGAGCGTGGAACACTGGTCACTCTCGGCGACCAGCGGACTGAAGGAGTCGAAGCTGAGTCCACCGAAGGAGGCCCAAGTCTTTCAAAAAGCTCAAGAGGCCATGGCCTCCAACCAAGAAGCCATGGCCTGCAACCTAAGTGCAATGGCCTCCAACGTAAGGGCAGGGGACTTTGGGGCTCTCCTTTCAATCGGCCATGATACACGTGGGTCTCCGCCGTCTTTAAACATGTTTTCACCTGAAAAGTGGTGGAAAAATGGTCTGTGGACCTGACTGTCATCGCCCCGAAGCATGTTCAATTGGAAAGCCTGTGCGGGTCCTTTTTGGCATGAAGCCTTTTTCCAACATATCAGCGAAGGCTTCAAAGAAGGAAGGAACCGAAGGACCATGAGCCTCATTCTGCGTCGAAGCTTTTGAAAGCCAACGCATTGGTCAACGCCGTCAACTCCCACCACGTCACCACACCCCCTTCATTCTGACCTGAAACAGCAAAAGAGGGGTGTGAGAGGGTGTGAGAGGGTGTGAGAGGGTGTGAGTGTGTGCGGAACGCAGAAGAACGTACGGAGGCTTTTTAGCGACGACACAGGTCCAAGTCTTGACGACAAGGTCCAAGTCTTGGTGCCGAATGTCAGGAGCACGGGTGGAGACTCTGCTCGGTTCGACACACAACGATTGACTCGAGAATCCCGTGGAAGATGGTGCAAAAGGAATGTTCATCTTCAGTCTCACAGTTTTTCTGGCCAACGGAAAAATGTCTAATGGTGTCCATTGAGTTCCAAGTTCAACTTGGCAACAAATATATTGTATAATATATATATATATATATTTATATATGTGTGTGTATGTTGTGTATTTAGTTATAAATAATATCCAAAAAAATAGCTCAGACTGGATTCCTGGATGTCTCCAGTGTCTCAAGGCAGCACGTTCGAACGCCCCGTGTCCGTTCACCTCGTTCTGAAGAGGCAGAAGCAAGGTCTTCACTCCTTCCCGTCGAGCAGCAATGACCTGACGACCGGCGACCAAGACCAAGACCGGTCGACCGGCCGGGTCGAATTGTCGCGTGGCGGCCAGGGAGCGCATCTGCTTCGTCTGTTTCGTTGGTTTCGCTAAGCGTCATCTATCATGCCCTAGCACCCAAAAGGGACAGCAGAACACTGCAACCTTACTCGTCTTTTTTTCGTACAAACACATCGAGTAGCTTCGCAGCTTCACACCCACAGTGCAGAGGAATGTCGTTTTCTTTGGCAGGTCTGCCATTCTAAGCATATCGGAGTGGACACAGTCCAAGCCTCTTCTACTATAGACAAGGCATTTATGTACAAGTTGGGTGAATCCAAAACCTACAGTCTGTAGGCTCTAGAGAAAACTAGGGTTTGTAGGGTCTTGGATTCGCCTAATTTACAAGTATGCCGTATGCCTGGTGAGTTATGGCATGTTATGGCCTATTCCGATATGCATCAAGGCCTGAGAAACGGTTTGCTGAGCAGTAAGTATGGTAGGTTTGATGAGGACAGGACTTGTGGCAAAGGGACTTCCAAGTGAAATCGTGCTATTCCACAAACAGAGGGAATCCTAATGCCAATTCTCTGATCACATCCGATGTGAACTCGCAAGGTGGCACATCCATTTGGAGGCCTGGTTCATCGGTGTCCCCTTGACTTTGGAATCGATTGCATTCTGTGGCCATTTGAAAGATTCCTGCCATGTACACCAGAGCAAGTTATTTGCCAAGCAAAAGGTGTCTTGGAAAGAGGATCCGATCACTTCTTGATGAACGGCTGGTCGATGGACCACTTCTACCATCCCAACCGGAAAACCACCCGATGCGGTGCCTTCTCTTTGATGCCTCCGACTTTCAGCACCTGCAGGCAGCCCAGGCAGCCAGCAGCGGTGGAGCCACAAGTTCAGCGACACGGGAGACTTCCTTGCTCATATCTGATCATCACTTGTCCTAAGGGATCCAGTCGCACCTTCTCAGAAGAAGGTACGACTGGACCCTCCAAACCATTCCAAACCTACATCACAGTGTCTCCAATCACCATACCCTCAGAGGGAGCAGTGGATCTGGTCATCACTTCCGAGGCCATGAATCACCAGCTTCGGCCTCGGCCTCTCAGGCCACACTGATCAACTAGATCACATCCGACCAAAGTTGATGAGGCTTCATCCACTCGCTTGTTCGTCCAAAAAAGAAGACATAGGTCCCCACGGTAGAAGTTCTCTTCCAACTCTCCCATTCTCCTTCAGTGCTCCTATCCACATCCACCAGAATATGGCTGATGTCATGGCTGGCGTCACACCTAGTTTCACTAAACCACCGGTCTTTCAGGATCCATGGCTGATCTCCCAGCATCCTCGGATCGGCCTGGCCTTGCCCATGAGAGTGAGCTCCCCAGTCATGGCGACATCGGCCTGATTTTCATGAACGCGGCAAGCAACTCAAACACCTTCTTAGAAGCTGCTTGGAGCCCTAGCGATGGGTGTGTATTCTAATAGCGATGGATGCGTCTGTGGGTGTTGGACGACAACCCCCTTCTTCCAGAGGGTCGCAAAGCCTGGGAGGTCTCCCTACTTCAAGACACACCCATATGCACAAAATGCACTCCTGACTAGACTAGTATATAAATACTGTAGTAAGAGTCTCAGCAAAAAAGAGGAACGAAACAAAGGGAAGGGAAAAGAATGTATAGAATCCCCGTTTAAAGAAGGAGCATAAACCCTTGCCATATCTTGATTCTCTGTTTCATCATGTTTTTAGAATGTGACTCTTTTCTGTAGCAACACAAGCGGGAATGGTGCTTTCCCCCACCCAAACCTTTGTGAACACCCGCATCTCTGTATATAATCCAGGGTGAAATTGCTGGTGCTTTACAAGCCAATTGCAATAGAAACGCAGGACACGAAGGTTTCAAGCGTATTTATGTGGTCTCGGGAAAAACACAAAAATGTCCCTTCCTGTCCAATGTTTCAATACCGTTCCTGACATTGAGTCTGTCCCTGGATCTCTCATAGTCAGCATCCCCAATTGGGTGTTGTCCACTGGTACTTCGCCAAACTTGACGAGAGTAGGCAACACCGGCCACTCCAGGTGAACCACTCCAACCGTGGATCCATGTACCGTGTCACCCGGTTCACACCTCCCTTCTTCATGGTGTCCACATCGTTCCACATCGTCCCCTGCGGGATCTCTCTGGGATTCGGTCCCTTCGTTGTCGGTTCCGTGTTCGGAGGTGACCAGTGACCCGAGCTCCGACCGGTGACCCGATGACGGAAGAAGGCGTGCCCAGGCGCCAACAACGGCCGTTCAAGAGCACAACTCAAGAGGGCGGAGGTCATGGTCACACCCGCTGAGGGGCCATCCTGCACGTTGGCGGCGGATGTACACGGTGGGTGTTGGGGTGCTTAAGCGGAGCGGAGGTGTTGGGGGTAACGGGTTTTTTCGAAAATCCGCAGGCCGCGCCTGTTGAAGTGGAGTCAAGTAAGTATCCATCATCCACCGTCCTATCATTCCTCCTCCCTATGCTATTGTTCAAGAGCTTCAAAATTCCATCCCAGACACCTACCCAAACACCTACCGCACCCTCAAAACACATCACTTCTTCCTAGCCTTGGGCGTAGCACCTTCGGGCACATGCAAATGAATGTTGGCCACGTCCAGGAAGGTATTCGTGGGATCTAGCCTCAGCCGAAGTGTTCGGCTCAGCCTGGTTCGGCTGCAGGACTGGTTTTTGGGATGATCCAAGAGAATAGGACAACACTTGGGGCCCTTTCAAAAGGCACAGCCGGCTTTATAAAGGATCATAAAGGCCTGATGGATCCTGATGGGTTGCAAGTGAGAAAGTAACTATTACCTCCCCGCGGGGCACCCAACGTTTCTCTGAATTCGTTTGACACTTTCGTCAGGACACAATGCCATTCGTCCGGCTGCAGTAACAAGCACATCGCTACTACTAGTAGCTTCTTGCTACTACTGGCAATGCCCTTGTTACTAGTAGTAGCGATGCCCTTGTTACCAGGTGTTGTTCTATCTCTGCGACTGACCTTCCATGTACCTCTCCTTCATGGAGATGTGCAGGACAATCCAGGAAACAGCGTCGTGTGGTGGTTCAAAGGTCTTGAGAACAACATAACAACATGATTCGGAAGTTTGTGAAATGGTCCAAGCTGAGAAAGAAAATAATGTTGCTTTGGGATGGATGATTCTGATACATATACTGAAGTACTACAGCCCGTCAAACTGACTGAATCATAAGGTCCCGGCTCCCGCATGAAGAGTCGAGCATAGGTCAAAGATATTGAACTAGACCTCGGAATGCGTAAACAAAAAAAGGATCCGCGTCATAGTCCACGTGACAACATGAACCCAAGACTCTTCCTTCAGCGTTTTGCCGGTCGTATGGATTTTTTGTGTAAGTGTGCATACAGCCTTGGACGATCATGTCTTCGCACGTGCTATGGGCCATGTCTTTTGAAATCAGACTCGTTCCCCTTCTTTCTATTTGCTACTAAGAAGCTTCAAAGACATACCAAAAAACGTATTGTTACTAGTAGCTTCAAGGACCTACTAGTGGCTTCTTGTTCCTAGTAGTAATGCCAGGAGCTACTAGTAGCGTCCTTGCTCCTAGTAGCGATGCCCTTTGCTCCTAGTAGCGATGCCCATTCCCCGAAACGGTCTTCATCAAAGGAGGGACATTGCCACTTGGGTGTCGGAAGTATTCTGTGCCGCAAAAACTTCCGAAAAGGTACCACCCTTCCGATGGTGTTTTGAAGTTTGGAAGCCAACACCGCATAATTACCCTGGCAAAAAGGACTTTGTCATGGACCAGGTCACACACCTGACTGACGGACCAGGACCGGTCCTACTGGGAACACGCATCGGGGATCACCATGGACCCGGGGCCAGATCGACCTGTGGCTGACAGCGACCTTCCTGGTATATGCGACCAATCCTGCTACGCTCACGAACTTCCCTTCAACAGAACTCTCCAGCTGCACTTGGTAGCACATCATATTCAACATCTTCATGATTCCTGCAACTCCTTTGAGTGACGACCCGTGGCCCGAAAGGTATCTTCCCTAAACCCGGTCGCTTCCCTTCAAGTCGACGCGAACCCTTCTCCTCCCGGTCACGTCTGTCACCGTCCCTCGCTCGGCGGCCCAACTCACTCATCACACTTCCCAACTGACCAGTGACCTCGCGACAAACAGCTCGGTGGCCGCTTGGGCCGCTTGGTTTTTTTGTTGTTTCCCAGGTTCAAGCAAAGCCAGGCTCGGTTGAGCCAAGCACATGGGCAAAGCTCAGCATAGTCAGTGTATTGCATGTGCTTCGCTTCAAGCATTGGAAAGGTGCTTTCGTGATGCTTTCTGATTGTTCACCAAAAGTCAAGGCAACTTGTTCAAAACAAATCAATCCATTGAGCAATTGAAGACTTTGCTGTGGGCAGGGATTGTCATAACAGACCTCTCCAAGGCAGCGGTTCAACAGATTCGATCTTAGCATTCCTGCCAAAGCCATGGATGTTCACATCTGAAGGGATTGGTTAGGTCTGGTGAAGACTCGCAAACTCACTGTAGACTTTTTTGAGCAAAACAAGTATTCACATGTATTCAACACCTAGCAGCCTAGCAACAAAGGAAACAGAGTGGTTGAACTCGGACTGAACACGGTGGCGAAAAATGTCTCCTTTAGCGATTCCATCATCGTGAAAACCCTACCCAGCTGAAACAATGAATGATCAGATATACTTCCAAAGAACCACCATGCAGGTCCTTAACCAAGACCTACATCGTCTACTCAGGCCCTTCGAACTGTCGCCGCGAAAAAAACCGGGGTGTCTTGGGCAATGGTCTTGAGACAATCACCTGACAATTCCACCTCAAACTATAAATATGGATCCTTTTACTCTCCTCAGCACTGATGAATCACGATGGCACGTGGCATGGGCGTCTACAGACGTCAAAGCAGAGCCTGCATGTGTCCACTACCAGGCTTGGACTCTCCCTTGGCCGACTCAGCCTGAGTGCAAGCCGACCATTGCCGGCGTCGCTGGGACGCCGTGGGAAGCCGATTCTGAATTGGCTCGGCGTGAGGAACCACACCGTGGTAACACCGTGAGTGAACAGGAAATAGATTCAACAGAGCGGAAAATGGACATGTCGTGCCTGCACCATTCGATCTTCGTACCAGTCTTCTGTCTTTACGCTTCCTGCAACCTAGACTCAACATCTTCTCTTAGAAGGCTTGTCTCTTCTTGTCTCTTCAAGACTCCTGCAAGAATCTGTATATAACATGGATGTTTGACTCTTTCTTAGCAAACTTCTTGCATATGTTGCAACTATCCAAGCAGAAAGGCCTCAAGGCCCCATATCTTTTATAATTTTAATATGCAGATTGTATTGTCAGCTTGACATGTTTCGCCGGACCCGAGCAAGGACCCATCTTCCAGGCTTCGCACGGATAAGGAAGCCATGCCACCTTGCACCCTGGTGGCGCGGTTCGAGTGACCCTGGTCCTCCCAGCTACCCAGCTGCCGGGTCGTCGGGGGCTCTTCGGGGCCTTCCCGAACACAAAAGGTGAGCAACATTGACAGTGATGAAAGGGGACACTAAAGAGTCCAGAATTGTTACATGTCCGGTCAAACTTCAATTGAGAATGTGTATAAACCATTTAGAAGTACCTATGGACTGAGTCCGTAAGACCTTCTCGGCGTCATCATGCGTCATCTGCCCCATGAGATGTCTCCCAGACTCCAGACGAGATGATCTTCCAATCTTCAGCTGTGAGTCTGAGCTCCACAGGACTTACTTGCCCTTGGCACAGTGTGACAGTACGTCTTCACGTTCGTCAAGACGCTCGTTCGCGTGGAACCGACGGCGACGAAGCTTCCCACCTGCCACAAGGAAGTCGGCCTGGTCGAGCGCGTCCGAGGACGACGGATTCGGCCAATTCGGCACGAGGAAGGTCAACCGAGCGAAGGGACGCGGCCGAGCTCCGTTCAGGGCTGATGCCTAACACCAAAAAATCCTGACTGGTCAACTGGTGATGCCTAACCCAAAAAGCGAAGGAAATTAAACAAAAAATACAATATGAAGGCTGAATAGACAGCCGAAGAAAAGGCATGGAGAAGTTGCGTACTTTACATGTCAACAAACTATGATTTTCGGGCGGAGTCTGTTGGTTTGCGCCAAGGACATGAGGTCTGTCGTCCGTATATGTGTAATGTCTGTGTGTGAATAATGAGAGAGAAGCACTGGGTGCATCTGGGTGCTAGATCTGCTCACTGGTTGTAAATATGTCCGTGGCAAAAAAGAGGGACACGGTTTTCGGACCTCTGGGCACGGGCACGTTTTGGCTTTCGCACGAGAACGACCGTGAGGAGAAAACGAGCAGCGCTGAATGGACGTTCGGGTCGGCCGTTCACCGGGTCAGAAGTTCCAGGTAGAGCTTGGACACATCCCGATGGCTCTTCCATACACCCAGAACTGGCTCCAATCACGAAGGACGCCATACATACTATACGAATAGTATCTACAAAACATAAATTCAGCTGTCATAAGCTGCGACGTCTTGATGACGACTTGTTTCTCACACATTTGCTAAATCAAGCCTAAACTGACACAAAAACTGTGATGGCTCAAGAAGTTTCCCCACTTGCTTTGACATGCCAACAGAAGCGTTTGTGCCCCTATGAATTTCTGCCATTCTTCCTCATTCTCCTGGTTTAGTGATTCTCCATTCTCCATTCCCCATCCGACCCAAACCCTGGGGCCGACCATGGGCCATCTCCTTCGCGGCGGGCATACCCGACGTCGCCCGCTGTCCTCCCATCCCCTCCAGTCCCCTGCGGCCCCTCCGGCCTCGAGCTTCCACATAGAGGGTGGCACCCCCGTTGGCCGTCCATGCTAAACCTGGGGCGATCGGAAGAAGGCGCTGGGCGCGCGGTGACCTTCTGCCGGAAATCGGAAAATGAAAGGCTCGCTTCCCGGAAGTACTTCCACCTGTTCTTGTTTGCTGGAGTATCCCCAATCCCCAAAAAGACTTTTAAAGGTTTACCACATTTCTTGGATAGGTATTATATAGTATATTCAGTGATGGGGTTATAGGCTTTGAGGTGGACCTTATCGTTCCACAGGGTTTCGTGCACAAACCTACCTCTCTCCACTAAAGTGATCTTCGCACATCTTCACCAGTTTTGATAGTGGGGTGATATATGCTCATATACTGTATTCATATACTGTATATACTCTCGGTTGTTCAGGTTGTTTTGTCAGCCCAAACAAAGTACTGCTTTGCAAATTAAATTGTTGAATGACATGTTTGCGCTCCTGCCTGGGCCTATTAGCTGTGTTACCGGTGTGTTTGCAAAAGTGTGCAACGGGACAGAACGCGAAAGAAAGCACACCTCAGCTGATGCTGCAGGTAGCGGTGGCATTTCCTTGTAGAGAACAGTTTTTCAGTGGAGTGCGCCATGTTTTCTGGGACTCGTCAGCCACATCTGCAGGAACATGATACAACCAAAAAATAACCTCGAGCGATGCACTATTGCACAAACTGAGTTCTGTATCTACAAATCCTCTTTGGAAGAAACACCACAACACCCTGAAGAGGTCTAGCTAGATCTAGCATGCTTTCGTTTGAGGTGTGATGCTTGCCTTGCCTGCATCCCATTTTGCCGTGAGCTCGCACGAAAGTCCCAGTTCGGTCCAGGCGCTCTATTCACTGACGCCGTGCCGGGATGCCGTGCTGTGCGACCCAGCAAGAACGGTACATAGAAGGTCAACATGAACGGTCCAGAACTCGCTTTACGTGGCGCTCGCGATACCGAGCGTGTCAAGCCGAGCCGGTCTCCTCCGTGTGGGTCGAACCGTGACCCTGTTTTGGCGCAGACCGGTGGCGCCGGTAGGCCGATCTGAAAGCGGGGAGCCGATGTGAGCGCTGTGATTTGCGCAGAAGAGACTTCATCGTTTGGGCCTTGGAAGATGGTCCCTTTTGCTGTGGAATGGCTTGATACAGTGATACAGGAAGGACAAACACGATTATTAAACTGTATATTGACTATATTTTGCTGTGGACTGGCTCATATTATAACTACAACAGTATATCATATTAAAATATAGTCTTACCCGGACATGGAGACCAAGGCACCCATAACCACCCCGGGAGGTGTGCCAATGTAGAGCCGGTCCGACATGTGGAGCCTTAGCGGCCACAGGATACCGCACGGATGGTCGCATGGTGTGTCCGGCCACTTTTATGGCGCAAGATGGAACGGTGTGAAGCCGAGAACGGGATGGTGAGGTTGAGTTGAATCAATCGAGCGAAGCTTTTGTCACATCTGCCAGCATCTGTTCCTTTGCGGCATGGCACACGCTGTACAAGTGCTTCCTGACGTGACAGTCAGTCTCTCCCAACTGATGCTTCTGGGCGTGACGTATGTGAAAACACGCCTGATCAAGCTAGCATGTGATGTAGTGCAAGAAAACGAAAAGCAATCATCTTTTTCACAGTATGGTATAGTATAAATTATGATAGTATGTCAACGCTTTGGCAAGCACGCCCTGGTGGTTGGGTCCTTGACTACAATCTAAGAGCACCGAGCACTGGCTCGCAGTACTTTGATGAAGCGAGCTTTCAGAAGCTTTGGTCAAAACCTCCAGTATCTCTTCCAAACCACACGATCTGTTGTTCACACCGATCATGTCTACGACACGAAGCCCGGTGAACCCAACGAACCAAAGGTCTTGACTCGCTCGTGAGCCACCACGGTGCCGTTCTGCGGCGAGCTCGGATATGGGTCACAAACCCGGCAAACTTCCGGCCGGGCGTTGAGAAAAACCATCTAAATGAATCACCGCACATCCATACAAATCCAAATTCCATGGTTTTGCTTGGACATGCTTTGACTATTTGACCTGTAGGTGCCTTCTTCAGCGAAATCATCGAAGCTCAGCTCTGCTTCTTCGCTTCCTTGGCGAATCCTTGGATTGATTGGCTGGCACACGTGGTTCTGAAAAACATCAAAGCAAGACCTGCGCTGACCAAGATGTGTTCTTCACTTCCATGCATGACCAATCTAGCAATAGGACGTGCTCAACTGCCCCGAACCCATCGGCAATAGAGACCATAGAGACCCAAGGCTCCCATGAACAATTCCTGCCTCTGCTCCTTGGGCACTGCAGCATAGATTTGGAGCATCTCTTGGATGGCTTGTGACACCTAGCCACTCCCCGGCACAGCTGGACGCTGTCCATGGGGCTTCCATGACCGGCCAGAGTTTGGTTGGTGAAAACGAATCACCAACCAAACGTGCGGAAGAAGCCTAGTTGAAAGACCCCATGCAAAGAAGAAAACTCTTCTACGGTTTTTTTTGCGTGACTCGCCAGCAAAGTTCTTTTACGGTTTCAATATCTGGACCTGCAGAGTTACGAGTACGACCAATCAATCTAAAGACATGTCATAAAATCTCAAACGATTGCACTCTTGGCCACTGCTGTGCAAACATCGCCGTCAAGGATAGTGTCTTCAGCCCAATGACATGCCTACCACTATGTATATATATATATAATTATGTGTTTGAGTTTGACCTGTAATCTTTGTCAAATCCAAGACCTGATCTTGGATATTTGAACCTCCAGCACTACTAGGTTGGAGGCCGTCACTAGCAGGTTGGAGGCTAACTTGAACCTCTCCAATATTCTCATCACTCCACGGCACTGTCTTTGCGCCATTGGCGCTCTCATCCTCATTCCCTGCTCGGCACGAGTCGGAACGGACGGAGGAAGGGGAGGACCAGATGCCCCATGAAGTCTTGCTGACTGAGTTCTGATGTCTTGCTGTGGAAGTTAAGCTGCCATAGATCAACAACCTGAGTAAGCCTTCGTTTCTCAAGCTCAGTTAGGCCTTGAAGTTGACGAGTGATCAAGGCGGCATACCGCCCATCCTGGGGGAGGACAACGTCCGACGGTGCGTATCCAATGAAGTGGGAGGGGGGAGGACAACGTCAGTCTATGTCATAGAGATGGACAACAGTGACAACAGGAGAACGCTACAGAACGGGTTTTCACCCTACTGCTACGAACGGAGCGATTGGACGCTACGAACGGGGCTCCTGGCATCGCTACGAACGGCAACAAGGTTCGCTACGAACGGAGCAAAGGGCATCGCTACGAACGGAGCAAAGGACGCTACGAACAGAGACCCAGACTCAAGATTCATCATGTCCTCAAGACCAAGAGGATCACTGCCTGTACCTCTGCCTGTACTGCCCTGGTGTTTACCAGGCACCAGAGAATGCTCAACTGCAGGAAACCACGCAGTCACCTCCGCAATCAGAGATTGTTCTACAAGAGGGGCCGTGTTTTGTTTGGAGGAGGAAATCATGAAATCCATTGAAATCCCTTCCTCAGTCCTAACCGCCACTTTCAAGACCCTTGGCAACTAGTGGGAATCCGATGGAATCCGTTTCTCATGGAATCCGTTAGACTCCATGGCCTGGTCGAAACCATGAGGTAGCGTGCATGCACTGTGTCTGTCTTAGGTAGCGTGCACCTTCTCGTGTTGTGTGGGCTCTGCGAATCTGTCGAAACCAGAGAAGCCGGGTGGAGGTGGGGTGCTTTTTCCTTAAAGGAATGTGTTCAGAATTCCCCAGCATCGAACACCCAAAAAAAAACGGAGCTCTGACTGGAACTACGCACGGAGCTCTGACTGCAAAACACGGGTGTGAACAAGAGATCAGACTGATTGCCCAGCCAGGACACCTGCTTAAGCGGTGAAACCCGCTGCTCAGCAGCGAAACACGACGAGCGCAACGAGTTGAGGCTTGTGAGGCTTGCGCTCGCCACCCGCCGCCTTGATTTGCAACAACTGATCGTGAGTGCCTTCTTCTGCCACTTGCCCTGAGGCCAGGGGCATCAGGGGCATGGGTCGAGACTGTTCTAATGGACTGGCACTTTCAGAAAGGGTGTCCTGCTTCTGGTCAACATCCAAGCACGCCTTGCTTCTGGTCAACATCTCTCGAAACAATCTTCGAAAACACCCCATGTTTGCCTCCAAACGCGCGAAGAGAGAAACAAAACAACTTCCGAACCCTCCACTCCAAACGGCCTTCGTGCAGGACGATGATCCAATCGGCATCCTTGATGGTTGAGAGTCGGTGCGCGATCACCATGATGGTACCTTTGGGGGGCGGCGCCATGCCACCCACGACCGCGTGCGCCGCGTGCGTCGCGTGCGTCGCGTACGTCCCGCCCCGAGGGGGGTCAGCGGTCCGCCCTCGGCGGTCCATCGGTTCCATCAAAAGCATGAGTGGCCGGTGGGCTTGGCCAGGGATTCCTGCGGGAGTTCTCGCTGCCGACCCAGTGCAGAGAAGCTGAAGCTGCCGAAGCGGCCAATCAAACTCTTGGTCGATTGCAACAGGTGATCAGATTAGATGATGAGCTTGTACAAACATGTAGAAACCAAGCTGGAGCATTTTTTGAATGCCGCTCATAACCAAACCATTGCTCTCTTTTTGCGCAGTCGTGACTCTGAAGCTCTATCTACCAAAGCCTGGGTATTGGATGGTATTATTTGCCGTCTTTGGCCAGCCCGGTCCCGTGATTGATCAAGACCTTGTGTACGCCTTGTGGAAATCGTGGTATTTGCACGACTCCTTGCTAGTTCCAGTAGATCAACAGGCCAGCAGCAGTGTATCATGTGTAAAGGATGTTGTCTTCCTTTTCCAAGAAAGTTCGCGTGTGATCGTTTGCGATTTCCAAACGGATGTCCAAGCCAGTGTGTCACTGTGTGCCCATCCCTACCGTGTTTCCCTCACACCAGCTGCATTCATCTCATGGGGCAACCTCACCAGCCAGGTTGCAGGTCCCCTGCATCTGCTTCATCAGCTCCTCAGTTGGTGACGAATGAAGTTCAGGATGGTGCCTCCACAGTGTTGGACACTGCTAGCATTCGGGTGAATATCTCTACATCCCATCCAACTTCGAGAGACAGTTCCTTTCGTTTGAGGTCGCTCCACAGCGCGATCGACCTCCTTCCTTCCCCGCACGCATCGAGCGTCATCCAGCGCTGCTTGCACATAGGCCTCATTCTCGGCATCCAACCTGGGAAGGCAACAACATGACTTGGATACCTCTCTATACTGCTGTCTAGTGAAGTGACATACCCACACGGCTACCCACAGGGCAGAGTTACTGGTCAGTAGTATATATATATATATAAATACTTAATGAAGGCAGATGGCTGAAATATGCTCAAATCGCAAGCCTTAGCTTTGGATCAGAGAAGTCATAAGCCATGAGCCCGAGCCCTCTTCTTTCAAGCATGTCATTTGAGGACTCATCGGCAGTTGAGTTTCTCACCCACTGAAGAACAAAGCTTGTTTCAGACAAGCAAGGAAGGAGCCGTCCGCCCTTCATTGAGCTCCGTCATTGAGGTATCTGAGCTCCTTCATTGGTCTGTCTTCGATGAGGTGGAAAGACCAGAGACAATGGATCCACATTTCGCGGATGCATCCAAACCCTACCACCAGGAACGACCGGCTCCCAACTCTTCTCCCAACTCTTCTGAATGCATCGTTTTCATGAGCCCTACCATGGCATTGGGTTGAAGAATGACAGGAAACTCACGCAGAAAACCACGTTTTTTAGTGGTGAAAAGTCAATGGAAACCACGCTGGAGATGTCCATGCGTGTCGGGATTTCCCTGAAACTCGGCATTTGTTTGGGGCATCTCCAGCGTTGGTTGGGGCATCCAGGGGCATCCATGGGCATCCCCAATTGGCGTGTTGCACACACCACAGTGATCATCTTCTCCAGCTCCTTCCAGACATGCCACGCTGATGTGGCCTCATCCAGCAGCAAGATGCGAGGCCTCAACGGTGACATGTTTGGCCAAGATCAAGGCTGAAATGAGTGGAGGCCATCTCTTCCAATGGGTGTCGAATCATCTCCTGATAGGTTGGAGGCCATCGCCCTTCGGTTGGAGGCCATCGCTCTTAAAGGAATCAGAAGGATCCATAATACATAAGGGCCCGACCACTTGTAGCCTCCACTTCTGACGTCCGAAAACTCTTTGCGCCGCATGAGATGCGGCCTTCCATCCAGAAAAACACCTGTCCGTCCCACTTTGCAAGCACCCAGTCACTTCAGCTTCTCAGCAGTTTGAGGGTTTAAAGATCCATTGGTTTCAGAGGAGATGGCAT